ACATAATCCATTTTCAAGCTTTTTTGTATGGAAACCATGTGACAATGAACACCACCTCTGGAGCTTATAGTCCACAAACAGGACCAATCACCGTATTGTGTAACACGATCCCGAGAAATATAATGTAAGGAAGTACCTCTGGAATGTAGTAGGTCAAAACAGAAAGCGAAAACAAAGAAACATTGCTGCGACATTGACATATGATTTATTAATACACGTTTGAGGTTGATTATTTCGTTTGTATGAAAAAGAGAGTTTCCGGCGGATAACCGTCTCTTACCATTTAGCATTATAGTATTACTACATCTATAACAAATTGATGAATTAATCTGGCTAGCGTGCCTAACCATTTTTGATCATTTGTTTTTGTATTATGTTGTTTTGCCTGTAACGTTTTTTTTTCATTTTTAATGTAAACTAAACAGAAATTGTGTGTGATATGGGTGATTATGAATATTGATATCAGTATTGATACAGCTGAATATTTCGACGAAGATAATTTTTTGTGATTATTGATGTAATATGACGACCAATATACTTCCTTGTATTTATTGACTTCAATATTTCATATAGATTATAATGACGCAGATGGTTGCTTGTAATTGATGATTGTTTTATTTTATTTAACGTCTCATTAACACCCGAAGTCATTAAAGTACGTGCCTCCATGTGTACACTGTATGCGTTCATGTATGTATGTGTGCTGGAGTGGGTATACTGGTACATGTGTATCCTTACCGATTGCCTAAGACACCCTGAACAGTATCCAGCTCGGTCGTATTATACTGACAACAGGTTAACAGGGTGTTGCAATTACCCTAAATGCTGAATGTTTGTCAGAGAATAAGAACTACCATTATATGAAGGACATGGCATTCCCATTGCCTTCCTGACTTTCGAACGTTCAACCCAAGGCCAACGTGAGGCATAGCAAAGCCAAGCGCTGGAAACAAAAAAATTGTTAGAATGTGAAGAAAAAGGTGAAAATCCCAAATGTGTCAATTGGGTAGAAGATCAATTTTGTTTTCTGCAATGCTCTTAGAGGAAAACACAGAAGAAACAAACCCCGATTCTGCCACGCCCCCACATTTGTAATTATTTTATAGAGTACGATGACGAAGAAAGTTCCCTGTAATTATCGACTTCAGTAGCGTAATATAGACTATTACGACCAAGATAGTTTCTTGTAATAATGCTTTTATGACAACGAAAACAATTCTTTAAAGTTATTTGTTTTAGTATTGTTATGTAGATTACTACGACAAAGATTGTTCTTTGTATTTATTGATTTTAATTACATTATGTGGAGATATGTCCTTGTAATTATTTATTATAGTACTGTTATAATGAATATGACGACGAAGCCCTTCCAACTATGCTAAAAGCTGAAATATATTTCGAATGCAAAATTGCTGTTAGGCTATGCATGAGCCAACTGTTGTAAAATAAAGCCAACGCTAAAGACGCTATCATAATATGTGTATGCATTCCATTTGAATTACATGATAAATAAAGAACATTAAAAACATTTTCTTCGTAAAATAGGACCAAACTATATATACAACAGCATCAATATATAAAGGTGACTCATTATTACTATTTTAACAGGTTCCTGGATATTCGGCAATCCTCTGGATTTATACATGTACTTAGATGAGTTCAGAGCTCCCCTTTTTCTTCTGTTAAGTGAGTGCTAGACAATTCATACACCTACAGGCAATTCTCTCAGAGCTGTCATTTCACATATCTCTGATTGGATTTTTCATTCTCATCGACAATGATTGATATTTATTTATATCTGATAATCTATATGTATATTGTAAGATAATCATTAATTCATGTCGTAAACGTAATGGTTCTCCCTGGTCTGGGGTTTGTTAGCTTAACTCTACTCGGGTTTAAAAACAGCATCGAGAATAGAAATTGCTACTGTATATCTCAGAACACAATTCTAAGCGAATTTCATTTTACTCAAAACCTGTCACACATACAGGACATAATCAACGATAATAACATTACGACAAATCGAGATAATATATTCCAATGTGGTAGCGTTAACCTTAATGCTAATCGGATCCAGGTGCAAGCATTGTCATTCCAATGTTACACAAAGCGGACGATCAATAGAAAGGCTCTTATCGCTGTGTTGAAATATTCCAATAGAGCATTCCGGTGATAAATGTTTGTTTTTATGGTCAATAGATCGAATTTGTCAATCGGTGTGTCTGTAACGTGCGAACAAGCAATATTAATATGTTAAATGTCGGTCTGCACGCTATTTAAAGATAAATAACAATATCATCCCAAGCAGGTAAATACTTACTTCTAAGAAATTAAATTTGGTTTTAACAAGTCATAACAAAAATGGACAAAAAAAAGTAATTTGGCTTATATAAATGCAGTTCCTAACGTTGAGAAGATTGTACCGTCAAAGGCATTTCGTGATGGCTCCAATTTATCTTTCCATTTTCACCAAACGTCTTCTTATATCGATTTTGAAATTTGTTCAAACACCCATTCACTTTCTAAACCAATGGCAGAGTGAGTGTCTTCTGCTCCTCCGAAATATTGATGTAGGTCAACTTCAGTCCTGAAAGCGAGATCCAGCTTAAGGAAAACGTAATAACAAGCCACACTAATGGGTATAATGAAAATATTTAAGTATTTCATATTTACCATAATGTCAAAACAGTGACAAAAGCAGAACTTTAGAATCGATCCAAAAATACATGAACCTTGAAGGCATGAAAACAAAACTAATCGTTGTTAAGAAATGTTACGTCATTATTCTGTAGAATGAATTGGCCATGTATTTGAATTACGTATAACACTTCTGCTGGGCACTTACTTACGTTAATATTATAATACACATTTGTTATTCTGTCGAAACAGTTTACCTTGATCAACACCATTCAATGAATATCCGTACATTTTGTATGTTACGTGTAGCACTATACTGAATTCTTTCAAAAAAAGTTAAACAAGGGCTCAAAGTCAGTCATAAGAACTGGAACCAACCAGATGCGAAATAACAGGAAAATGCTTTTAATTGAATATTGACGTCGGTACTCATATTCAGTACCTGACTAGCATTTGCATATATTTCAGCAGCTTTGGAAAGATCTGTAGTATAAAAAAAATGTTTGAAATATTTAAAAAAAAATCGATTTTGGAAGCGCTACTTAGACATGGAGGTGTTTGTATTCAATGAACATTAAACTTATGCCAATACAAGCTGCTGTTGTATTAACAGATTGACGAGCGTCCCACAGGAAAAAACGTATAACCGCCCACGTCAGCAAGGATACGAAATAATGTTTACTGCAGCCGCCCGAACGGTGTCAGCCCTCTCACACACATTTACATAATGGAGTCATGAAAACCTTGTAACATCAACCCACTTCATTGCAATCTTCCTCATCTATATGTATCGCTGTTGAGTAAAATCCTCATTAACAATCATTTGTTTTACGGTTGACGCTAGTTCTCTGGTGGTTCGGAAGTAATCTGGATTGATCCATAACGCCCTGTGCGTCCCGAATGCATTCATCCGATATAGTGCAGGTAGGTATCATGTAAACAGTACGTAGAATAATTAAGATATATATTCGTAGATGGAGCAATTGTTGCCATTTCATTGTCTTAATGATCTTTAAAATGCCTAATGAAGAGCGCTATGCCATATTGTGTGGAAACAGGTAAGCAGATAATGCAAGGTTTAGATAGAGCTAACATCACTTTATCTGTTTGTGGTAATACAGGTAAGCAGCTAATGATAGATTAAGAGTGGACTTACCTCATTTGATCTGGTTATAGTAATTATTGCTCGCTGAGGCAAATACGGAAAACAGATTAATATAGAAACCCTTACTAGTACAAGGAGAACAAAACCAGGTGTTCCAAAATGACGACAAACGCCATGTAAGGCCTGGTCGAATCCAAATAAGTTAATACAACGAAAGTGAAAATACAACTTGCCAATATTCTTCATAAACGTTCATCTCTTGAAAGTCTGCGTTGTCAGTTTATTCGTCAGCGGTCCACCTTTGTCACAGACTTATTGATACTCCGAGCAAACACTTGAATAACTTATCAACTGTGGCATATTAACACTGTATGTTGGCGAAGCAGGGGTGCTACTTACAAGAAAAGGAAAACAGATGATTTGAAAATTGAAATCATCTTGCTTATCGTACTACCAAAAGGTTTTGTTTACAGTGAATATTTAACTAATAAAACAGATAGTGGTGATTTTATTATGTCGTCAAAATAGTTTGGCTCTTTGCAATGTTGTTGGAAAGACACTGATGATACATTCTAAGTTAAACACTATATCAAGGAAGTATTTTAATTTGGTATAAGTCTGTATTCGCGTGGTGCGTATTTTCTATGTTTTCAATATTGTTTTGCCATACTCAATTGAACATTATATGTATTCTTTGAAAAAGAGTATTATATATACATATAATGTACCTATACATGTACATTGTACCTATATTTAAGCACGTGTCTATATACACCAAAAAATAAATAAAAATAAATAGAAATATTACACATTGGGAGAGGATTGTTGTTTCAAATACTCTTCGCAAATGTATCTATTATTGACTAAAAATCGCCACTTCTATTTGTGGGCTTACTTTACGACTTTTGTTGTAATTGTATTTTTACTTTCCAACTAGCAATAATAGAAACAAAATATTACGTGAGTACGACTATGATTTATCCGTGGAGAACCACAGCCTCGATATCGGCAGTAATGTGTCGCATTGCTGTCCGGTCAAAGAAAGCGCACCTGGGCGATAAAAAGACCATTAATCATCACCAATCAATTTGCCTGAATAAATATACAGAGAATGTTGGACATCCTGGCTTAGTGTCAAGAGTGACAGGTACATCTACAGAGGAGTACTCTAGGAGGATCAGAATTGACCTGGACTTCAAGCACCGGGTTAGTAGGCAGGAGTCAGCCAGATCAATACAACAATGTTTGTCTATACATCGCTGAGGGGAGTGATATCAAAATCTATAGATATATTACAACGCCAATCGGTGCAGGAAACCATATTATCGACACATTTATTTTTTAAATTTGCCTTAAAGGAGGAAGTAATCGCTTTCCACTGACGCAGGTGCAATTGCGATATAGGAGGATCCGCGGCACAATGTAAGATATTTTAACTGCCATTGAGAAGCTCACCTTTAAGTAAATTTTCTGAAAGGGAACAAGATGTTGATAATGAAGTTTACCTCCTTCTAGCAACCAAGGTGAATGTCAGCTATATCAACGCCAAATTTGATTTTTCTATCTAAAACATTATCACAACACCTTTGTACAATCTTTACTTGTTAAAGAAATTACGTTTTCGAAAGCTCGCGAAATAAGTTTTCTGTTCATGTTTGTGTTCAAAACAAGCATTTATTATCACAACATCAAGCGAATCCCGACTGTAACAACAAACGCCAAACAAACAAAATATCAGAGTTTAGCCACATTGTAACTAATCTGTTATTGCACGAATCGGTTCAAAGCAAAGGTCAATACTCACTTGACATACCAGGTACAGAGGCACCTATCTAGAAAGTCATTGCTTCGAATCAAATAGAGAAACAAAGAAATCTATACCATATGCCATTTCCTTAAGGACAAAAAGGCGGTAATATACAGATGTGTCATTCTTTGTTGACATACTGAATGTCTATGTCTATGTCTTACGTTCAGCCTTCCAGTTTTAAGATTATGCTTTCTTATCTTTCCTCACCTGTGCAGGTTCATTGTCTGTGAATAATTGCAATTAAGTATTGCGCTGCAACAGTGCATACGCCAATATAGCATTTTTTTTATTAATTTCTTACAAAAAAATTCTCTGCCAAATTGCGACTGAGATGCTGTTATAATCTGTGTCCAACTCCTGTTATTCAAATGAACGTCATCAAACTATTAATGTGTGTTATCAGGTGTTAACGTTACAGTTGATAATTTTATTACTTCTGTGTAAGCATCAATCACTGTTTACGTTGTTTGTCATATCCCTTGGTTCTTACATTATTATCTTGGCGTGGAACTTGTTACTGTTTTAATTTTTTTGAGGAGCTTTGATTTAAGTTTTTTTTTATATTTTTGAAAACAAACCGATTTCAGAGCATACTCTGATACACCGTTGTATAATGTAAAGTAGTAAAATTAGCACATTCTGCAGCGTCAACTGACAGTTCGAATTTTGGACGCAAAGTCGATATACATGAACATGTGTAGAAACTGAGAAAAGACAACAAGAAAGAAAAGAGCGCATTATCCCCTTAAAACCGTCATAGTACTCTGTCACGTTGAAACATATTGGAACCGAACTGTCTGATTTCCTGTTAACGGAATGATATATGTGACCTTTATAAAGGGAAATGTTCGAAGTAAATGGCAATTCCTTGTAGCCACTGATGGTATCAGATCATTTGAATGCTTCACATGTGTTGCGTTATATCATACTATATCTACATGTATGTGAATGTTCGTTCGACCTATGTTTCTCAGCATGTGTGCATACAACACTGTTCATTCCTCACAGAAGATTGGAATATTTTAAAGCAAAAATAGAACTACATGTACCTCGCGCGACACAGTTTTAACAATTTTAATGAGACATCCATTTTACATCGTATACTAGTCTTAAAATGTCAGCAAGACATGGTTCATGAAATAGCGTGTATTATTTGGGTTAAATGAACCATACTGGCTTATTATGTCAATAACATCATCGTATATCCAGTTAAATGTTAAAGCATTTTTCATGTACGTGTCAGTTTTAAAGAAGTGACACGTAATATGAATAATAAAACGCTATTGCATAATAATCAGACGGATATTGCGTCCAAGATTCAAAGTACATTTAAGATGTTACTCTACATTGAATTAGGATGTATCGTTGTTTTCAAGTAGTTTACATAAACATGTATGGTGTCTAGTTGATATTGTCTTAAGTTGAGTAAATAAAAGCAAATAAACACTATTGAAGAAAGGAAAATTATTCTGAGCAAAACATCGGTGGCGAATGCAGGTGTACAAACACCTAACCACCACATTATCAATTTCAACAGGAAAATGCGAGAACAAAGTCCAACGGAACAGATATTAATGTGACACCGAGACAACAAAATAACAGGAAATATAACAAATCCCATGAAAGATAAATGCAAACAGATGTCCTGCAATGGTAAGCGTTTCGTGTTAAACATGTGATGTCCTTCCCTGTTTTAACGTGAAATCAGGAAAAAAGATTGTAAATCACAAACAACTCTTAGACAGAAAACAAGTACCTGATTACAATAGACATTGAGGAATTTCACGGCATCAAATGAGTTTCTGATGACGACTGAACAATATCTTCCCGACAGGTATCTGACTAGAGACTATCACAGCTATTGCTGATGCTATAGTACATTTGCATCACATATGACACCAAATACCCCTGGTAAGTTGAAGCGTTCCCTTGATGGGTGACTGTTTTATTTTGGGTTTTGGATTGATTAACGGCCTATCGAAAATGTGAATCATTTAGGACAAAACAACAATGTATTAATAGACTCTCTCAAACATGAATACATCAAGCTAAAATTGAAAATAGGGTAAAATATGCTAAAGATGTACACATGCAAAATAGCACACGCGGTTGTGGTACACTTTATCGTATTTTATCGTATACATCAATTCGGTGTAATTAAGAAGTACTCATATCATGATTTCATAGAAACTGCATCAAATCAATTTTTAATGGACGGTACATTAAAAAATATGTCACGTTTTTGTTTGAAATCAGTTCATTCAATCATAGAATGGCTGACTGTAAATGGTTGATCACATGCATGACAATCAGGCTGGTCTTCTTGTATAATGTAACGATGTAGATATGGCCTATGTGCAGTCGCGAGATGACAACTTCTTCTTCTCTGGGGTGTACTTGTTTCACATTAAGCAGCATTAGGTTGAATTGTATTTAACTAATTTTTTCTGTCTTTAGATAATTTATTTTGCCGATTTTTCAATACGATTTGGTATGGCAGGTTTACAATGAGAATAAGGAAAATTGATATCTTTCTACTGTAGGTTAAGTGTTGTTACAGTTCTATCTACCTCACGTACACATCAGGTAAGAGAATGGGACGTCCTGTATAAAGTCTGCTGCTCAATACAAGTAAGGATGCGGGACATTGAAAATATCGGATACAGTGAAGCACAGGCCGACTGAAATACGTTATTGATAATCAGATGATCAAGAAAACCTTCAAAGTGAAACCAGATAATAATAAAAACCGTCAAAGATGATAATCAAGGTAACAATGAAAACCGTTAAAAGTGAACGTCCAGGTACTTATGAAGCCTTTCAACGTGAAAAACCAAGTATACATGAAACACTAACACGTTAAAAATGTTAATCATTTAAAACCAGGGCTCATATTCATACACGAATGTTGTCCTCGCGGTTAAAAAATCAAGTAGAAACATTGAAAACAGTTTTCGGCTGGTATTCTCACCATGATTTATCAATATAACTAACAATGATAGTTAGATAACTATCTTAATGATGGATAATACATGTATGTCATTTGTTAGGGTTTATTTAACACATTGTACAGTCTACCGCCCTCCTGTACACTTTTGTAAACAAAGGTTTATTAGCTAGCATACAACATCCAGGTTTAGTCAAACAAACAGGTTTTGACCCCAAACCAAAATGTAATAGTTCGTCAATTAATATATAAAATATTAAAGATATTATAACAAATAACACTGCATTAACAGACTATGCTTGGATCTTTTCTATTATCTTTTCCTTTTCAGAAAACAATAAAAGAGCATTTGTCCTTCTTGACTTAATGATAACATATAAACCAACAAGACAAAATAAAATCAAAGTTGACAGGAGAAAATAAGACGAGCAACCAAGGACACATAAGAATAAAGACAAAAACAGCATGCACCCATACTAGTTAATCTGGTGATATCTTATACATAGTATGGTCGTAACGACTTGCTAATATGCACTTCAAATACGCGATACCCAAACAGCATCGAATGTGTCGCTCAAGGTTTTTAATTCCTAAACCGATGTAACCGTTTTAGGAAATATGCATTCTAAGATGATAGAGGCAATGGTTACGTCATTCCTGTTATGAATAAGAAATCGTCAAGTATTTGGCTTTCTTACTGACGCACAGTTTTTCTTGCCTCAAAATAAAAAAACCACTATTATTTTGCAGCAAATTCTGTCCAATAGGTCACATGACGTGGAAGAGCGGTGGGCAGCAAATGGCGATAGAACAAAGAGGTTTAGCCGAGAGGTAAATGTGCTGCCATTATCCACCGGGAGCTTATATCAAGCCGTGAATACTAACGACGGGAGACAAAGAGCGCGAGAGACGTTGGACAGTAGCTTAGCGCTAGTACAGGGACCACCCAGGGATCTCAGCCACAAGGCTCGTCAGTCTCCCACAGGACGCAAGGAAAGCTCCGGACAGCAAAAGGTAGGCTAGCTTTTCTACACGCACATACTTTTTATCCTTAAAAGATCGATCTTTTTCGTTCTTCCTTAACTAACTACCTGAAATTCCTTACACTAAAAAAGTCATAATTAGACCAAGAGAAAACAAAACGTTGAGAACATTTTTATGGGAAAAAACGGTGATAATTATAAATAGGAACTGTCACGTTCGTATTTCGAATCGTTCACAAAATATTATTGTGCGTATATTTTATTCTTGTATTTTATGCATAGTGATTTTATATGTCAATCTGATATCTATTTTATGACAAGACGCATTCTAAAATAACAAACTTATGTAAAAACTGTTATAAGATTTCTTTGCTATTAAATACATATTAACATCCCCGAACTCTATTTGTTGCGGAAGGGAAAACAATTTACAATTTCTGATTCTAAAATTTCTATCAACGTTTTGTTACTTTTTTCATTACGTAATCAGAAAGCATAGTAAAGCTGTATTTGGCGTCATTGACATTACAAATTGCCTAATCAACACTTCTATATAGCATCAAATGTTTCGAACAGGCGCGTTCTATTCTCGTATTTCTAGCAGTTATTTTTGACTTGGTTAAAAGAATGTTGTCCCTGAGACTGGCCTTAGCTTTGTGGCTGGGATTTACTCGTGCTTTACAGGTAACACGTATTGTAGTTTGTAACATTATAAAGGGTGTAAAAGGCATATAGCCCTCCTATGTATATGTCGGGACACTTAAGACAACGAACTTTATTTCCTTAATTCCCGAAATAATGATATGGTGCAGTAAAGTATTTCTTTTTGTTGGCTTTCGGCATTGAGCAACAACATATTAAAACAATTGTTATAGAAGTTGTACCCTACATAATTGACATTATACTATACACTTTAGTAAAATTCTATATAAGTTTTTAATGTTTTACTTTTATTTTTTTGAAATTGTACTAAGCATTATTCGTCTCTGCTGAGCGTTGTAACTCGCTTAAGTCACATTGTTACTACCTGCGGTTGTAAAGCTGTACATTAATCGGCATTATAAATTGTACTGTAGTAAAGTTGTATATTATTTGGCATTATACTAAATACTGAAGTGAGGTTATCAATTAACTCGCATTATACTATCTTATATTACAATATATTGAAGTAAAGTTGTACATAAATTTTTGTTAAACTATCTACTGTAGTGAAATTGTACGTAAATTGTTGTTATACTATCTACTGTAGTGAAGTTATACGTACATTGGCGTTATACTATCTACTGTAGTGAAATTGTACGTAAATTGTTGTTATACTATCTACTGTAGTGAAGTTGTACGTAAATTGGCATATACTATATACAGTATCACACAAGGTCATCCACTGATGATGTTTTAGAAATACGATCCAACCAAATAGCTTATATTGTGTGAAAAAAATGTTAAATATAACTTACACATGTTGTTGTTACTTGTGTATATACATAGTTCTATGTAACTGTTTCAAAGCTTTTAAACGATTTAGTATTTCGGGTCTCGTGTGCCCCAGCTCCCTCAATAATAAAAATACACAGAGAAAAAAATCTGTTTCTGAAATGTACAATTTGGAAATCAGAAAACTTTCAATAAATACATAAATGAATGAATGAATATTATCATTTCACTAAAAATATTGGTCCCGAATCTTATAGAACTGGATATATGATTGGATACTACAAGAGGAATATGTTTATTTTCATTTTCATCACATCTCTCACATTTAATATGACATCTAAGAAAAAAATAGTCCTGAGTTTCATGTAATATCATTGTACTTTGAACAAGTATAGTATAGTGATCAGTTTATCTTACACACCCATAGTGAGTAATTGGATGCTTATCACAAGAACAGTTTAAGTTACAGAGATCACCTTAAAGGTTTTGCGCTAGTTTAATCATCTGTGTACGGCATGCAACGACGTGCAATAAGCAAACAGCTTGATTACTTACAGTAACACAGTCAACTATAGCATTGCTATGAAGCAGAAACATTACGGACCGAGAACCGAGCCACGGGTACCCCTGTCTTTACATACCTGGGTATAAATACATATACTTTTGTTCTCTGTCAGCTGTGTAGTAATTTAATGTTTTGGTAAATGAAAGCTCATTTTCATTTCTGTACGTTGTTAATTATTTAGGTGTTGGTGTCCTTGGTGAACGTATGAGTGTCCACTGCTTGCGTATGCAGACAATTTCCGCTTAAATAGGTCGTCTGTGATGAATGTATCCCCCTAGTTAATGTCTTGACTATACGCTCGCTTAGAAAAATAACATTCGATTCCCGTGAAAACGTCAACGACACGCCTAATTGGATTCTTACAGTGTTGACGCCACAATTGCGGGATGCACTGCAATCAATGTGTCGTGTTACAACCAGAACCGGAATTGTCTCCGATCCTTTGCCGTCTATTTAATGCGATTTCAAAATGACTTCGCGCTAACTATCCGGATTAAAATTATATCAAAATCAAACATATTTAGTATTCTAAAATAATAACATTTATATTGAGATTCATAATTAACTTTCGAGGACATAAATAAATATCTGATGGCCGTTACTCACAATAATTTACATCTGTAAAATATTTGAAATATTCTGCAAAATAAAAGCAAGATCTGGATTTTTCGAGAGGTATCTATGAATTATCATTAAAAGGGCTATGGTAGCTCTGCGAAATCCTCGTTATATTTCTTGATTCTTTTATGCTGTGGAATACTTCATCGGGAATATACCACAGAAAACGTTTACCGCTGTCTTACATTTCAAAATGTTTTTGGTTATATTTCTCCCTCTATTTTTTTAATTGACATCTCACGAGTGATCTTAGTTTAGCCATTTGTCTTGTTTATGTGGATCGACTTTTTATCAAATGATTCATATGTATGACAAACCCGTAACTAAAACACTAAATCGATTAAACAAGGGCAGACTATGAACAAAAAGTCACATCTGATGGAGAATAGACTCATGTGATCCGGAAGGGTAAGCGTATTTTGTTTCATTTGTGACACTACCATGTAAGTCCAGGTCAAACCAAGTAGCGTTCTAAAAATATCAGGATAGATACATGGAAATCACAAGGCAAACTGTGTGAGCGAAACGGGAATTGTCAAAGTAGATATCGTACAAGAAAATAGTAATATCATGATGTTGGCCATACAAATTGTCTAAATTCTTCAGCATATCAACATATCTCAAAGTATTGCGTGGTGAGTTTGTTTATAATATTCTGAGTAGGCTGTTAATAAGAGTGAATCAACATGTACAGGGAATAATCGTAGGCAAAGGAAGAAGGATGATACTATCAAGAAAAGAAATATCAATGTTCGGAAAATCGTAATTGCAACGTTTATGGAATGTAATGTATTCAGCCATTCTTGTTGTCTATGTTGTAATCCAAATCAAGGTAGTCGGTTGGTGTTGAAGAGTATGTATTCTCCGTGATTTAAAGTTATCAAATTCCTTGACCAAGGCTGATGAATTACTTGTTGTTTGAAAAATGACACTGTTGATGTATCTATGTCTTAATGTGCTTTGCGTTGTCATGTATAATCTATCACGGTCTAGCTAACGGCATCATTTGTATATTTGTCATGTATAATCTATCACGGTCTAGCTAACGGCATCGTTTATGTAGTTGTCATGTATAATGTATTTTATAGTACATGTATCTAGCTAAAGAAAACATCTTTATAGTCACGGTCTAGCTGAAGGCATCATTTATAAAGTTGCTATGTATAATATATCACGGTTTAGCTGGAGGCATCGTTTGTATAATTGCCATGTTTAACAAATCACGGTCTAGTTGGAGGCATCCTTTATATAGTCGTCATGTATAATCTATTATGGTCTAGCTAACGGCATCATTTGTATAGTTGTCATGTATAATATATCACGGTCTAGCTAACGACAAAATGTGTATAGTTGCCATGTTTAATCTATCACGGTCTAGCTAACGGCATCATTTGTATAGTTGTCATGTATAATCTATCACGGTCTAGCTAACGGCATCGTTAATATAGTTGTCATGCATAAATTATTTCATAGTATCTAGCTAAAGACAACATCTATATAGTCACGGTCTAGCTGAAGGCATCATTTATATAGTTGCCAAGTATAATCTATAACGGTCTAGCTAACGGCATCATTTGTATAGTTGTCATGTATAATATATCACGGTCTAGCTAACGGCATCATTTGTATAGTGGTCATGTATAATTTATCACGGTCTAGCTGGAGGCATCCTTTATAGAGTTGCCCTGTATAATATATCACGGTCTAGCTAAGGGCATCATTTGTATAGTGGTCATGTATACTTTATCACGGGCTAGCTGGAGGCATCCTTTATAAAGTTGCCCTGTATAATATATCACGGTTTAGCTGGAGGCATCATTTGTATAGTTGCCATGTTTAACATATCACGGTCTAGCTAACGGCATCATTTGTATAGTTGTCATGTATAATCTATCACGGTCTAGCTAGAAGCATCATTTGTATAGTTGTCATGTATAATATATCACGGTCTAGCTAACGGCATCATTTGTATAGTGGTCATGTTTAATATATCACGGTCTAGCTAACGGCATCATTTATATAGTTGCCAAGTATAATCTATTACTGGTTGGAGGCATCCTTTATATAGTTGTCATGTATAATCTATCACGGTCTAGCTAACGGCATCATTTGTATAGTGGGCATGTATACTTTATCACGGTCTAGCTGGAGGCATCATTTATATAGTTGCCAAGTATAATCTATTACTAGCTTGAGGCATCATTTGTATAGTTGCTATGTTTAACATATCACGGTCTAGCTAACGGCATCATGTGTATGGTTGTCATGTATAATCTATCACGGTCTAGCTGGAGGCATCATTTGTATAGTTTTCATGTTTAATATATCACGGTCTAGCTAACGACATCATTTATATAGTTGTCAAGTATAATCTATAACGGTTTATTTGGAGGCATCCTTTATATAGTTGTCAT